GCAAAAGCGTGCAACTCTGCAGCTGGTCTGGCCCACGCCGGAATATTTTGCGAGCATCATCTTTTTCAGAACCTGTGACGCATGTCGTACAAAGCACGTGCTATGCACGCGCTGGACGAAGATCAGGCTTCATCGCACATTTTTGTTTTTGCCTTTTCGAAAAGAAAATTTGAGAAGACGGCGAGGTGACAACAGTTTAATGATTTCATTAAACAGAACCAGCTGAAGGGTCATTTTACGAGGGTTTTATTGAGATGTCACGAACAAATTATAGAGAAAGTGGTGATGGACAAAGAAATAACTACGATGGAAATGTAATGTTAGAATGTAATGTGAAGAACAGTAATAGTTGATAATAGTCCATCACCACTTTCTCTAGAATTTGTTCATGACATCTCAATAATACCTTCGTAAAATGATGCTTCAGCTGGTTCTGTTCATTGCAATCCTTAAAAAGAAAATTGTAACTTTTTCTCCCGCTTCCATGTAGCTTTTCAATGTACTCGTAGTGCAAATTTAGTGAAACCCTGCCAAGTTCACGCGGCTGCAGACTCGCAGAGCACGCCTCGTACGGTATGACTCATGATCTCCACAAAAGGTGATGTTAACCAAAAATTCCGGCACAGGCCAAACCAAGCGGGATTGCACACTCTTGTTTATACGGTACTTTTACCGACGCTCAGTAGGCCAGAGCGTATCTGTCTAATGAGTGTTTCTGAACACGAAACTCACCAGAAGAAAGGTTTTCTTGGTCTCTGTTGTTTACCCTTGGGACATTGTACAACACATGTGTTACTATTAGTATTACCAAGAGTACATAACCCAAGAGTGTGCAACTCCAGCTATGGGGTCTGCGACGGCAGAACTTCACATCACGTGATGAACCCGTGCACTCTAGTGCATGATAGATACTGGGTTGTACGCAGCCCAGCTTTGGGTACAACTCTCTTGTGGTCACTTTGCCCCGGTGAGAAGGCAGTCTTGCCTGTTCATATGGTGAAGTAAAATAAAGAAACAACAACAACAACAACTTTGCACTGTTTGCCAGCATAACCTTTTGAACCATGTCACGTGATGTGAAGTTCTGCCATCGCAGCACAGCATAGAGGTTGTGCAGGCAGTTGCACACTCTTGGTTATGTACTCTTGGTATTAGGGAGGTTTAGTTCCCACGTAACGGAAACGCGTACGTGGGTGATCCACGTAAAGTGGATGAAGGGCACCCACGTTGCAATGTTGTGTTTAGTCACACGGAGCAAACAAAAGCATGAAGCGAAAGGCCCAAACCTGGTCAAAAACGAATCTACCCGGGCCCAAGAAGCTCATCGAATATTTTGATTTCGTGCTTCGGTAACTTCTTCAGCTGAGCACCCTCACAGCTCGCACAATGCGCTCCATTCTGATTTTCACCCACGTTCTGGCGGAACGTGGGTGAGCCTCCATACACGGTATGTCGTGAATCAGAAAACGTCTGTACGTGGGTCACTGAGTATCACGTGGTACACACACGTAAAGTACCCACGGATTACGTGGGACTAAACCTCCCTATTACCAAGAGTACATAACCCCCAAGAGTGTGCAACTCCAGCTATGGGGTCTGCGACGCCAGAACTTCACATCACTTGATGAACCCGTACACATTATTTGCACTCTGTGCATGATAGATACAGGGTTGTACGCAGCCCAGCTTTGGGTACAGCTCTCTTGTGGTCACTTCTTTGCACTGTTTGCCAGCATAACCTTTTGAACCATGTCACGTGATGTGAAGTTCTGCCGTCGCAGCACAGCATAGAGGTTGTGCAGGCAGTTGCGCACTCTTGGGCAGGGTTATGTACTCTTGGTATTACTACGGAGCATCAGCAAATCGAATATTCGAATGAAATTCGAGAATCGTCACGAAAAGCACTCAATCAGTCGAAACTAGGCTTTGTTCGACTGAAAAATGCCCGCAAACAGAAAATACTTTTCGAATACTTTTCGAATGCTCCGCGCGTGCTCTAGTACACGGCGCACTACGAGTACTCATTCTTGCGCATGTAGCTACTAGTTCTTACTAAAGTACTAGTCCGGACTTCTTGTCAATCTTGACGCTTTCCTCTCTCTCGAACTGTGAAAAGTTTTATCAAGTGTGCATTTTGTTTCATTTCAAGTATCCTGGAATCATGGCTTTGTCACCAACTACCAGCCCCGGTATGCCTCCTGCTCCCAGTACTGCAGTAGCCCTGCTGGCGTTGTCTCGGCATCTGCGTCTATGGTGAGTTCCCCGCAGGGAGAGGGCAACTCAAAGTGTGCCAAATATTTGAGGGTCGACCTTACCATGGATCTCATTCTGCTGAGGCAGTGTAGGGCCCACCCTCACCTATTCGTCCGCGGGTCTCCTGATATGCAAGGGATAGCGGAGGAGCTCGGCCGAGATCCGCCTTTTCAAGGGGTCTCCAAGAGAGATCCTATCGCCAATAGCCTGAATCGGATGAAGCATCCGCCGCTTCGCGTCATCCCCAAAGGCAATGAGAAACAACAGCAACTCCGTTCATTGCACATCTCAAAATCCCAGTCCTCAACTGCTCAAGCTAAAAAAAACTCGATTCGAAAATACTGGACTGCGCTACATGCTGAACCTCTTTTTCATTCGAATTTTCTCTCTGATTTTCTTTTTGCCATTCGAATAATCAAATCGAAAATTCGATTTGCTGATGCTCCGTACTATCGGCTGCTTTCGTTATGCTCAGCCAGGGTCCGGAAACCGGCCTGCACAGTACTGACACCAAGGGTCAAGCCGCGAGAAACTCTTGTCGGTACGTGTACATTAACTGCAGTCATCGACAGGGCTCGGAGTATACCAGGGAGCCATAGCTGGTCCAGGGAGCCATAACTGGTCCAGGGAGCCGCCTGCACTGACATGTACCTGCACCACGATGTACTAGTGTGTGCAATACTTTACTCTCATACTCCAGTCAGTTTCCCTACTGAATATTTCGACCAAGCCGGGTTCAGCATGCACATCAGAATGACCATGAATGACATGCACCCGCCATCCTACACATGCAGTGTACATGTACAATCATGTATGCAGCCGTGCACCCGCCTAAGAGGGGGACCAACTATGCCCGGGGAGGGGGGGGGGGGAACCCGGTCACCCTGCGGGTCACGACCCTGTCACCCTGCGGGGCACGACCTGGTCACGACCCGGTCACCCTGCAAGTCATGGCCCTGTCACGACCTGGTCCGTGACCCTGCGGGTCCGGCACGACCCAGTCACCCTGTGGGTCACGACCTGGTCACCCTGGTTACGGCCTGGTCACAGGTCACTCGGACACATTGTAAATTTTCTCGTGACGAGGTATGAGTGCACCATGTACCAGGGAGTCGTACCCAATTGGGGAGCCCTACACATACAGGAAAGTGCAGCAGGGAGTATAGTAACCTTGTAGAACAGTGGTATTTTACTTCTCCCTGATTACTAGTATGTGTGGCTTCTAGCCCCCCCCCCCCCCCCCCTGTACGCCACCTGATTTGGCTACAACAGTCCTGGCTACACAAGTCGTGCACTACAACTTCAAGTTCAAGTACAACTATGAGTATGAACTAACTCATCAACTAACTCAGTAACCAGTGGTAACTGTTACTTTTCTACCTGACGTCATTATGTGTGTGCATTGCACATAAAAGACTACAATGTCATGACACACGTAATGCATATGCATGCAGTAAAAGCAGTAAAACTAAAAGTCTTGAAAGGCAGGTACTAGTATGTGTACCAGTACGAGTACTACAAAAAATTTCAAAACACTCGAACTCGCGGGTGCTGTGTATGCGCGATATGCGACAGCCAAAACGAGTGGACGTCGTGCATGCATGGTGTACAGGATCTACATCATGTATGCCGTTTTCATGCATGCTTGCACTGGACAGCTGAGATCTGCATGCAATCGAAGCTGCTTGCCCTGCAAGTACAAGTGCGAATGTGATGCGCTGATGCGCCGAGTCAGGCTGTGATCACAAATCAGGCTCTGAACTGAAGCTGCAGCATTTTTAGTACCAAGCAAGGAGAAAGGGAAGACATTTCCGCGATATGCCTGTGTTGTGAAGATCTTGCTCTATTTTAGCCGAAAAAGAAAGGAAAGGTCTGTTAGATGCCACTGGTTGTACTTGATTATCTCAGGTGTAGCAGAGGAGTGCGGGTGGAAAGGCAAGACAAATTTTGGTAAGGAATTTTGTCTGCGTTGTACGGTGCAAAGCTTTCAAGACATGCTGCAAGAGTGTTTGTTTCTCTTGCCAACTCTTGATAGTGTTATTCGCTTCTGCAGCTTTGTACTTGAAGGCGATGGTGTAATTCTCTGCCGTAGTACCTTGTTAAATCCGTATTATTTATTTCCATAAGCTTTGGTGGCTGTCAGAGTGCCAGCTTTCGCGGAATGTGTCGTTCGTTTTGTAAGTTAGTTCGTACGATTCGTTGTTGCACCTTGTAGCTGCCTTTGTTTTATTCCGTGTTGATGGTCTTTGGAGGATTCCCTGTAGAAGCAACTTGCAGTATCGTCTTCCATCCAGCCTTTCTGGAACTCTTAGCAAATACTAGGACCTGTCTCTCCCTCTCGTCTTTTCTTGACGGCCAAAGTGCTTTGCCAGTCAAGTGCGTACTATAATTGTATCTCGAAGGGCATGCATGATTCCTCTTGCTCTCTGCATGATGTGTCCTTCGCCGCTGATTCGATTCTGTTTTCTCTCCGTATCAGTTTGATGATATGGAGACTCATTGTTGTAAGTTTTCTTCAGTCAGTATGCTTGACGATCTTTGAATGCGTACCAGCTCTCGATTTGTACATCCCTCCCGATCAAACAAGGAGGCATTCTAGAGCTTGATCAAGTCAATCATCGTCTTTTTGTTTTGTTGAAGATTGTTGGTTCCACGTGACGGGGTGCTAGTAATGAATCTCGTCTCGCTGCTTCGCCAGTAGCTGAGATGTAGAGAGAATGATTTCGTGTAAGGTTGAGAGCATCGATCTCCTCTCATCCTCAGTACAGTTTGTCATTCGCCTGTCCCGTACTTGATCGATCTGTCTGTTGTCGGTCTGCGGCCAACTTCACATGTCGGCCGCTCGAGCAGGTCTGCTTCTACACGTTTCTTGGCTTTGCTTTTTGGTATTTTGCAAGCGAGGAATATCCCCTCATCGCTTTCCCTTCGTGTATGGTGTGTGTGTCTCCCTTTGAATCTCATCGTCTTTTTCTTTCTCTTTTGGCCTGCCATTCGTGTATGTTCTTTCCTTTTGTGCTCGTGCGTACCAGTGGCGGTGGTGCACTATACGCACAAGCCATCATCTGCGCCCACACAGTCAAAGCTCGTATTTTGTTCCCTTGTTTTGCTTTCTTTCTTACAAACTTCTGTTGTGTGTCCCTCGGGAATTTTTGGTCCTGAGTTGCGTTTGGGATGGCAGCGAGTCCAGGTTTGCCGAACATGTTGGCAATCTAGTGCTTGTGTCCCGTCATGTCGTTTCGTGTTCGATTTGCCACGTTGGGACACTGCCACTGGTGCACTCTAGTTTCCGTTGTCGTTGGGAGTCGTACACATGGTTCGTGAAGTGAGCGTACGCCAGAACTCACTGTTTAGTGCTGCCCGTCTTGGTTCTTCGTGTTTGTTTTACTAGGTCTGTTCCTGTGCGTTTGCTCACCCTTTTGCCTCCAGTGCGCTCGCATAATCTTGATTCTTGTATCTGGGCTTGCCGGTTCACAACCTGAACACATTTTATCACCTGCCTCTTGACTCGACTGATTCATGGAACTATTTGACTTTGTGATGGTTCTGTCCTTCTTCAGACCTAGCTGCTGCGATCATGAGTTCGTCTGGGCCGAGTAAGGACAACAGTCCGCTGAAGCAAGTTACATTCAAAGAGGTGAGTTGCTCTTATGACTGCTGTTTTGCTGCTGAAGCTCTTTCTAGCTCTACCTACTGCGTGTCTTTCTGGGGGGAAAGCGGCGCTGGCGATCGCTCTCTCTCTCTCTCTCTCCCTGTGCGTGTTTGTTGTGTGACGACGTGTTACTCCCTCGACGTTACCCTGTGTGTCACTCAAAGCCACTGCTGAGGCTGCTGATGTCTGTGTCAGGACTCAAGAGGGCCTAATATCTCGCCTCGCTCATTGTCCTCGCCGAAAGATTTGTAGAGAGTTTGAAGTTCTGTAGTGGGCACTTTGTTCAGTTGTTGTTTTTGCTCGAAGTCGAACATCTGATCTGAAATCGGTGACGGTGGAGTAAACATTATGGTGTCGTCTACTGCTGCGCATTCCACCAGATCAGGAGAGATGTTCTTTTAGCGGCGCTAGCTGGAGTAATAACAGCGATAACTAATTACTTAGCTATCTCGCTGCTAGTGCATTGGTCCGATATTTTTTAGACGTCGCTGTTTGTGACTCGGTGACATTCATCTTACTCAGATGTCCGCGACTGGCAGCTCGGTCCTAGGACCCAGGGCAAAGATTGTGATGGTGTTGTATCTTCTTTGAAAGTAACAGTTCGTCGGTGTTCGTGGCGTCGTTTAGTGTTGCTCGCTAGAGCAACACGTGTCAGATACGAGCAGTGTCTTGTCCTGTGGCATGTTGTTTGTGTTCCCTAGTCGAGGTGATTTCGACTTGGTTGAGATGGCCACACCAACGTGACACCAGCACAGCATTACTGTATAGAGTATAAGCACTAGGATTAGTACTAGGACTAGGAGTAGGAGTAGGCATTGCATTATGCCCCATGTCCGAGATTGGGATTGTTCTCTGCGTTTCCGATGTGTGCCAGCAATGACTACAGTCGTACAGAGCACAGTGCCAGTGGTTGGCTCTCTGTGCTGTGTGTTGTGCGTTTGCCTGTATTTCCACAAGGGACGAATTCCGAGCAGTAGCTATGCGTATTGTGATTTGATTTAATTTGTAGCATTGGACTGTGTGTGGATGTGCACAGTTGTGTACTGGAGTCCTGTGCGGAGGTCAAGGGCAGTATGGAATCCCAGAATCTCATTCTCTCTCTCTCACTCAGCGTAGTGTCGAGTCACCAGTGAAAGGGATAGTCCTTCGTACAAAGTTATTGTTGATGCTTTGCAGGGTTTGTAACAGTTACTGTTCACAGTTACTGTTCTGGCCTTGTGTTATTGTGTGCTTATCATAAATAGACATAATGTATCCGTGTTGGCTCCCCCCTGCCTCCTGTGTCCCCATACTGCCGGTGTTTGTGGCCCACACTATCACAGACTCAGTCAGTATGCTGCTGCCAGTATCTCTGTGTTTTAGTTCTGCAGCTGACCTTGATAGTATCTGGGTGTGCAGCATGCACACAGCACTGAATTATTTTGACATTGTGTAACTGTATGTATGCGCTAGTATGCCAGGCAGTATACTATGCACCACCACTCCCAAAGTAGTGTTTGTGTGTCAGGCATGTTGTCATCGTACTCTACCTTCCACTACAAATGCTCACAGAAGCTGGGCGCTGTCACCCTGGTCACTGGAACCTTTCTTTCCTGACACTGTGTGACAGGCACCCCACCCTGTGTCTGTTGACTTTTGCACTTTTCGCGTTTTATCTGTACACACATACCTCGCTGCGTTGTCGATATTGAGTCTAGTTATTGTGGCATACACCGTGAAGGTCCACTACTCATTGCTGCATGGAAGTAGTGTGCCAGGGCATAGGTTTGTGGTGCATAGTACATACCTGCCGACCATCCCGATTTGGCCGGGACTGTCCCGATATCGAGGGTGGTGATAGGCACCCGAAAGTGCATTCGTTGCATGCCTCACCGTGAGCTACATTTGTATACAGTCATGTTCATACCTAGGTGTGTCGTTGTCCCGATGTCAGGTTTGCACAGGTTGGCAGGTATGATAGTGCCGTTGTTGTTTCACTTTAGATTAGCTGTACGCCAATCGATAAACAAGTTAGAATTGTTCAGAATACAGTTGTACTTTGGTAAGCTGATGGTATAGGGCTTGAAAAGCGAAGACGTCAGAAGTCAACGAAATCAATAACAACAAATTGTGAATTCTGGGTCAAATTGGATCCACTCTGCCCTTAGCGGAGTACAGCATGTTGTGGGCACCAATGCCCCTCGTGTTGTACACAGGTGTGAATTTCCTGTGGCAGAAGTGGGTCTCCGAACAGGAGGGCACCAGCCTAGTCACTCCCCCGTGGATTATGTGTCAACCTTCTGTAAAGGAAAGCCGCACAAACGTGTATGGACTATGGATCCTTGCAAGAACTCAAACCAAATAGACCCAAAAGTCAGCTTTGTCTTGACTCCAGCCTGCCTGTTTCGTGCCACCAAGAGTACACGAAACCCAGAGTGTGCAGCTCCGATGGGTTGCTGTCACGGCGAAATTCTGTGATTACATCGTTTTAGTGATGTAGCGCTTACAAGCAGGAATCAAGCAGGTCTCTTCCTGCACAACTGCAGCTCAGTTGCACGCACTACGCCGCTTCCCACCTGAGATCTACCCGAAGTATGATGTAATCCCGGAATTCCGCTGGACAGACACCCATAGTAGAAAAAGCCCCAAGCTGCACAACACTCTGGGCCTCATGTACTCTTGGCAGCACTTTTGAGCCCTACTGTAGTGGTTAGTACTCACTGTGGTTGTGCGTCGGCGCATTCATGTGCTCGGTTACGCGTGCACTTCCAGTACGCTTTCACATGTGTTCTTGTGTGTGCGCGCGTGTCTTTGTACGTGTGGTTACACTTACAGCAGTCTGAGTTTCTGGGCAAAGATGCGGCTGGTCACGCGTACTACCTAGCCGATGGTAAGTTCCATAGCGCCACAGCTTCATGGCCCCCGCATCTAAGTAATTCGAATTTTAGAGCCAGTAATCATCGTGTTTCATTGCAAAATGGGTTGCAATGGTGTGGTGGTCACTAGCGTAGTGACCGTAGTGTGTCCAAAGCCCCCCTGCACGATGTAAGCCACTGTAGCTTCCACTGTGCATGTACCGCATACTACTCGTACACTTGTGCCTAAGTTGTGGCTGGTGAAATCCAGTGGATTGAAGGGGGGGGGGGGGGGGGGGGTAGCATTCTGTGTACATATCCCTGTGTAGAGAGTTCAGACCGCAAACACCTAAATCCCGAATTTGTACCTGATGTACGCGTACAATGTACCTTGTGCCGATATGTTCCATTTGGCCTGGGCTGTATAGACCCTTACACATTGAACAGAGGAGTGCACTTCATGAATGCCAACTGGAGTACCATGAAATACACCTGTGATCCGCTCCTGCTCCCACCCTATGTCACTTACCACCACCTGGTTGCTCTTCAGCAGGTGGGGCAGGAGTGAGGTCAAGGCTGCCAAGTGTACTACAATGTCCAACATTTCCATTATGTGAGAGATAAGACTTGATCAGACTTGCCATGCGGGATTCCACATATTTTCACCCACAGGCATACCTGCATGGCATGTATTGTGTACAGAATGGCATGCGTTGGCTCAACACCGAATTTGGACAAGTGCACTGGAGTTACTGCACTGGCAGAAGTTTGGGGGGGGGGGGGGGGTTAGAGAGGGGGCAGATCGGCTCATGTATTCGAAGCTGTTTCTAAAATTTGAGGACATTTTCGAACGCCTCCTAGCCTGCCGTTACTTTCGAATGACCTGCTTTGCCGCAACTGATTCACAGGACTATAAATGGTGTGTGTGTGTGTGTGCGTGCGCGCGCACATTTGTGTGCGTACATGTGTGTGTGTGTGTGTGTGTGCACGTGTGTGTGCGTGTGTGCATGCGTGCGTGTGCTTGTACCCATCCAGAGCGGCGACTATGTCGTGAAATGGCGGCCAAGAAAGGCAAGCGTCAGCCTGGGTATGTATGGATGCCTTTTGATATGCATACCGGTAATAACAAGAGTAGATAGACAAGAGTGTGCAACTCGCGGATGGGTAGGCCCACGGCGGAATTTTTTGTTGACGTAATCTTTTCGACGACGCACGCACTGCGAGTCTTTCGGAAAGTTTTCCCTCGTGCTCTTGGCCGGCCTTACACTACAAGGTTGGTACCCAGCACGTGCTCCCACATTGCCCTGCGGCAAAATGCACGTTTCTCTGAAAAAAGGTGACGTCAACAAAAAATTCCGCCGTGGGCGGGGGTATCTGCAGATTGTGCAGGAGAGATCCGGAGGTGCACACTCTTGTTTATCTACTCTTGATAATAATCTTCATGTGGATTTATAGATGGTTTATTTGAATCATTGTGACAGCCCCGGGTCTGGAATTTTGGTTCAAGAAACCGAAGTTGGCAGTGAAGAGATCGAATATGCTTTTTTTTAAATTTGCTAACAGGAAGGGGTAATAGAACCTCTCTTGAAGGACACCTCAACAAAGAACACCTCCATATTGACGGCACCTTTCTTCAATATTGCCTGTTTCCAATGAACTAGCAATACCGGTACTCTCTGTAATCGGGATACATCCGAAAAGGTTCCAGATGAAGTTTATTTTGATCAGCGCCCAGAACTTGTGGTGACAAGAATACCTGATGCTACAGCGGGTATTAATGTGTGTGTACGTGTACGTGTGTGTGCGTGCATGTGTGTGGCGTCTGTGCGTTTGTCTTCAGAAGTGGAAAGCCGGAATGGGACATGGTGTGCTCCACGCTCAAACAGTGGGAAGATTTCGTTGAGTACGTACATGTACCTATGTGTTTGTTCTTCCGCCCACCCGCCCCCTTCCTTCGTTCTCCTTTTTGCGGCAGGAAATTTGATAGAAGTTGTGTTGTTCTTTCATACTGTGAGCGTATGTGCACTATTTGCAACTATGGCCCTCTCTACATGTATATGGCCAGTCTTAAAACTACTGTTACTGTGCTTCCGAAACGGATACATGCTAGAGACAAGGCTAGCTTACAATGGTTTTGAACAATTCCGGTTCTTATGTACATACGCGCTATGCTGTGTTTTGTGTTTAGGGAGCTTAGTGAGCAGAAAGAAGAGGCCAGCCTGCACGCTGCACTTCTAGAAGCTCTGCCTGGTGTAGTTTCAGCTTTCCAGGTAAAGTCCGATCGGTCAATTTCCTGCATCCGCAAGCACAGCTTTTGTTGTGTTGTTGCAGATCTTGGTGATTCTCTCACGCTCTCTCTCTCTCTCACACACGCTCTCTCTCACACACACACACACACACACTCTCTCTCTCTCTCTCTCTCTCTCTCTCTCTCTCTCTCTCTCACACACACACACGCACACACACACACACACACACACACACACACACACACACACACACACGCGCGCACCATCGCTCTCCAACTCCACGCCCTTCTCCAGCCGTTTTTATCATCATGACTACCGTCAGTACTGTCAATATTCTATGTGCTTTTGCTTTGCTTGGGGAACTAGGATGTGAAGAAGAAGAGACCAACACCCCCGTCGTCAGTCAGCCTGGTAAGGTTTATGAAAGCTGATCATGGAGATCAAAATACATCTGTCCTTGGTGAACCCTCAAGCACCTGGCTAAAAATTACATATGAATGGAACTATTCATAAGGTTGAAGGAGTTGAAAATGGGAAGAGTATGAAGAATGGTGAATGGGATTTTGATTAATTTATAGAAGAACAAAAAGGACCAAGGAACTGCAAGTTACGCTATAATGTCCACTAACACCACCAGTTACTCTAAACAATCAGCTCATGCGATAACATCGCACGACACTGACCTTAGTGGACATTATAGCGTAACTTGTAGTTCCTTGGTCCTTTTTGTTCTTCTGTATATAAGGCCACACTTTGTTTTTTCTATGTTTCTCGTCATCGCCCGCGTAGGTTTTCAGAAATTTCGGAAGAAAAAAAAAGTTCATACTACGTACATGTATGCACGCTGCACATGCTGCAGCAGCTAGATGCGTCAATCAAAATCGTAAAGGTTTGAAGTGAACCACAGAGCAAAGGAGCGCTCCCAGTGTCCTATCCGTTTTCTGCGATGAAGGCTGCCATGGCGAAGCTTTCACTTTTCAGTCTTTCACTGCCTGAGCTTCGTGGGTCCCAGGAATACCGTAAGTCGGACGAGTACCGTGGCAACTGGCGTCTGTGGAACGATATCGTGGGCAGAAAATCCAAGCAATAGACGCATGGCGAGGAAAAGATGAGCAGCGTGGAGACAAGAGTTTGATAAGCGGACGCAAGAACCTTGAAGTAACAAAACCGAAAATGACCCGTGGGAAAGCGTTTGTTGATGCGATAACAGATAAATGTACATGTATGTTCTCTTCGCCATCTCGTATTCATCAAACTTTATACTCTCATTGTTGCAGTTTGCCTGATATTCGTGGGCTGATGTGATAATGTAGTATGTATGGGACTACATGTACATGATTGTACAATGTAGTACTGTATACCAGTATACATGGTTTACGCAGTGTCTTGTATGAATCACGGATATATTATGTATGTAAAATGTATACAGTTTTCAGTAGAAATTGTTCTTGTTTTTTCCTTGCCTTTTGTTTTTTTTTCCGCCCGCCCGCATACCTTTTGTTAAAATTTGCCGACGAGAAACATAGAAAAAACAAAGTGTGGCCTAATATGATATAATTATCATATTTATTATTATCATCATTCTAGCTCATTTTTTCCCTGTCATAGTCCTGTTTATCATGTTCAGCATAAGCGAAGTTGTGGATCATGCTTGCATGGTTGACTCCAACGCGTACATGCAAGTAATAATAATAATAATAATAAATTAATCCTTGGCTCTCCATCTGGAATTTTGATTTTTTACCATATTGTGGGCATTACTTTGATTCTACTCAACAGAATTTCACTATCTTGGGGTTACGGTTGGCCTGTGCAATTGTCTGCTGGTATCTGTGGCTGTGCTTTTCATCTGGTTTTGTTGCCTGTCTGTATTGTGTGCACGCATGTGTGTGTGTGTGTGTGTGTGTGTGTGTGTGTGTGTGTGTGTGTGTGTGTGTCTTTGCGTAGCAGAAAGACAATGGCAATGCTGATGTGAAGCCTTCACCAACTGGCAGCTCCCCGCCCAAGCCAGTAAGGAATTCCTTTCCCCTGCTGCTCTAAGTCTAACTTGCTGGAAAGTGGCAGAACGCACTGTGTGTACATATCATGTGCACGCTTTATGTTTGTGTGGATCGTTGTTGATGCGTTTGTCATACTGCTTTGTCCTTTCTGGTATGGCTTGTGTTGTAGCACAACCTCGCGGCCTCATGTCTAGTCTAACAAAGCGGTTCGTACCAGCCGGCCTGTCTCTTGTGTATTGTCCATTTCCGAGATATGTTTGCTACTTTCTTATCGTCCCCGTGTAGAAGTCTAGAAAGCGTCCCAGCAGCGGCAGTAACGGCGGCGGCAGTAGCAAGAGCTCTCCAGCCAAACCCGCCCAGAACAAGGTCAGTGGTGGACGGTGATAAACGGATACGGATGCCATCGCTGGCTGGTGTCTGGCTCGCTTATGCACTGTTCATCTACCATGGCGGGTGAATCGCTTGTGCCACGTGTGCATTGCATGCATTCCGTATACGGCTAGCATTTGTAGTAGGGGTGTGCACGGGTAGTCGGGTACCCGTGCTACCCGTGAGGACCTCCCGAAAACCCGAAGTCGCAGATGACCTCATAATTATGACATGCACAGTGCACGTGTACAAATTCATGTAATACTCTGCGTGTCTCCCAGTGTGTAAGGGAAGGGGTGCATTGTGGTGTTACCATGGAAACATTACCCGATCGGGTACCCGTGGAAAACTACCCGATGAAAATGCTGCCCGACTCAGCGCTAATTTGTAGCGTGTATGCTCATATTGTTCACAGGCTGGCAAGTCTTCAGCTCCAGTGCCACCGGCCAAAAAGCCTAAAGATGAAGTTGAGGATGAGCCAGATGACGGCGCTGACAATGACGAAGATGAGGAGAGCGACGATGACGACGATGAAGAGGTAGCTACACCGTCGTCAGAGAGTGAACCTGAGAGAACCGCTGCCGGCCGAGTGAAGCGAAAGTAAGTCACGCTTGTTTTAGCTTGCACCTACGACCACTCTCGGCTTGAGTTCACACCACTGGGGTACTAGTTAGAGGCATGTGCTACTGTCAACTGAGGTGACTGGTCCTGTCTGCTTCCCCCGCTAACGCTCTATTTCCTGTGCCCAGTTTCCAGAGAACATTGACCTCTACGGCCCCCGCCATCCATGTGCTTCTTTTTCCCCTTGCTGTTGCTCCCTTGTTCAATTAATTTCTGGAGACAGCTGTTGCTCGTCTTTTGATAGCTTGCACTGGGCCTGTGGAGTATTCCGTTTGTTTTTAAGTCTGCGAGCCCGGGTGTCTTGCTGTCCTTTCCTCTTCTCAACACACTTTCAATACAGATGTACCACCAAGCCAGCTTCCAAGAAACATCACCCACCACCCTCCAAATCTAAGTAATTTTAGTAGAGATTGGTGGTGTTTTTTGTTTGTTTGTGAAGTTGTCTTCGCGTACATGACATTGTATATTCAAGTATCCGGGATGTTTGCCCAGCCGATTGTCAGTCTAGCGTGGAATGCAGTGTTTTCCATCGGCAGACCTGCAACTATATGCTTGGCTTTGAAGCCAGCTGATGACGGTCCTACCCAGAGGAACTGACAGTTTCTAGGCTGGGCTGGTGCTGGCTACTTGAATGAGCTGCATTGTTATGACTGGAGCGAGAGCGGGGGTTCAATCTGCCAGACACATGTGTTTGTGTGTGGGATGGGGAGGGGAGGGGGAGGAGGTACAGCTACATGTAGCTATCAAATCCAGGTGAGTAGTGTCCTGTGAAGTGTGACCGGCCACTGGGCCTGGGCTTGATATGTGTACGGTGTACGTCAAACTGCGGGAAGCAGGGTTACATGGCTGGAGAAGCAGTCTTATAATTCTGTCAATGTTAGGAAATTCTCCGCAGCTCTCCGAACTTCAGAGCTGCTTGAAACTTGAAGATTCCTGGGTTCTGGATCTACGCATGCGGAGTACCGAAAATATACGCAGGCATGAGTCATTGACCACACATGATCATGCATAATTATGCTCATGTGTCTGAAGATCGTGCGTTTAGCACTCGATGTTTCTTTGTCTTCTAAGAGAAATTTCTCCAAGACCACCTGTACACTGGGACCACACTTTGAAGGTCCCTTGAGCGATGGGCTTGGACAGGTTTCACTGTACATTTGACAGGTGCATGCATATCAGCACAATGTCTTCTAGGTACCGCAATTCCAATGTGAGCTTCATAGATGCGATGAGCCACTGGAGCTGGACCCTGCTTTCACGGCTGGTCATGGACAAACGTGTACGGCTCGCTGGGTCGATAGTGAACAGCCTCGTATCTGAATTGGTGCCGACGGCGAGAGCTTGTCGCGTTCCTGCATTGGGAGATCTTGCTGTGATGGTCATGTTCTGGCTGCATGAGAACATCCTCAGAAAGCCTACTCTCCGTGTCCCCGGTCTCGCCATTCATGTTCTTTTTATACGTGTGTATGTTCGTACGTGTGTGTGTGTGTGCGTGCATCCACTTATTCTTTTTACAGGTGTGTAATCCGACGGGAGAAGGGCGGCAAGGCACCCAAGGACTCTGGTAGTGATGATGATACAGCAGCGTCACATGATGGCGGCCGTGAGACTGTGGTAAAGGCAGGTGCCAGAAAGAAGCGCAGCCGCTCCTCTGATAGTAAGTGTGGCTCTGCGTTTCTGAACAATCTCTCTGTCTGTATCTCTCTCTCTCTATCTCTCTGTATCTCTCTGTCTCTCTCTGTATCTCTCTGTATCTCTCTGTTTCTCTCTGTATCTCTCTGTCTCTCTCTCTCTCTCTCTCTCTCTCTCTCTCTCTCTCTCTCTCTCTCTCTCTTTTGCATGCATGCTTCCTTCTTTCTCCTCGCTCTCCTGAACGTCAGAGAGTCAACCCCAGGAACGTGTTTGTGCTGGGAGTATTGCCTTTGGAATAGGCCAATGGCCAGGCTGGGTTGGAGCTGGAGGTGAAGGAGAGTATGTAGGCGCTTGACCATGCAGCCAGTGTGTGTGTGTGTGTTTTCAAGCTTTGTTGGAGTGTATTCGACTGGCTGATGATGTCCTTTAGTCGAGAATAGCCTAGCGGTGGTGGTGGTGGTAGTGATGGTGCTCCTCCCAGCAAGACATGGGCTGTAGCATTCCAGTCTTTCTAAGACGTAGAGCACCAACTCAGACGGCGATGAATATGATGCTGGCTGCTCTGCTTACAGAACAGGGCTGGCTACTTAGGACAGTCAAAGGTGTTGTGAGCAAAGCTTGACCTGCCAGACCCACTGCAGTGAACCTGGAACTTCGCGCTGTGTACACAGTCGGTGGATGAGTGAACTGTGGGTGTTCCATGCAGCTGGCAGTGGTGGTGGTGGTGGGTTTTTCCCCCCATGGTGGTGATGGTGAAGTAGTAGTTATTGACGACGTGTTGTGTGTCCTTTGTCTTGTTCTGTGTGCAGGTGGCTCTAGTGCAGCAAAGCGTGGCCGCTCTGCCCCGTCACCGACGATTGCTTCCCCCGCAGTTGGTTGTGACGTTAGCGGCGGCAATGCTGCGTACTCTGGCCTTGCAATGCCCATGGTCAGTGGTGGTGAGACTGTCTTCATGTTCAGCACATCGTTAGCCAACATGGCGGCGCGCAGCGTGGACGATCACGTTTTCCCGACCATCATCGACTGCCACCGCGTGCTGCCCAGGAACCCGCCGTACCTGGCGTCCAAGCTTTCAGCCGCCGCCATGAACCAAGTGCAAACGGTACAGCAGCGCATACAGCGCCACCATCAGTCCTCTGCAGCGGTGGCGGCGATCGGGGGGCCGGCAATGGTGACGGCGCCGCGTAGTGCTGAAGCTGCCGTCGCTGCCGCACAGCCCAAGTACCAGCTACAGCAGCACCAGCACCAGCAGCACACGGCCAAGCACCAGGCTTCGCCGACGCCGTCGCAGAAGCAAGCACACTCGCAGCAGTCGTCATCCTCATCATCGCAGAAACAGCGCCGTTCATCTGCTTCTCCTACTGTGCCATCACAGAAACAACAGTCGCAGCAAAGTATGCAACAGGAGCAGCTTCAACAGCAACATCAGGCACAGCAGCAGCAGCAGCAATCAGTGTCCAAAGCCAAATCGTCACCGACAATGAATGGCCGTGGCAGTGGAGCCATGCCAAGCGGCCAGCGTCCCCGTCCCACAGTACCACTAACCCAGTCCAGCCGAAGTAGCCTGTCACACTCGCCGTGCACAACCCACTGGCCGAGTGCCGCTGCTCCTGCTGCTGCAGCGGCGGCGCCGGCGTACTCCATGCAGTCGGCCGGTGCGGCGTACCCACCTCCATATCCCTATCAGCCACAGGCGCAGTACTCGTTCTACCCGCAGAACCAGCCGTTTGACCTCAGCGGCACGCCTGCCGGTGCTGGCGGCGCTCGCATGGCGCACGGCCAGTTCTTCGCCGCCGCGCCGCCGCAGTATGCGTATGGTCAGGTGTTCCAAGCGCCCCCGGCCGTACGCACTACCAGCGCCGCATCCGCCAGCATGTCCACCAGCGAGTCGCCGCTCATGGAGGAGATGCGGACCATGGCACCGGACCAGGCCACCGGCAACCGGGGCAGGATGTCGGACGGCCGCGCTGTAGCTCAGCAGCAACAGCAGTCAGCCATGATGGTCAGCAATTCCATGGATGGCCAGCCACAGCAGCAGCAAGCCGGTGGTACAGTTACAGCAGCAGCTATGCAGGCACCCATGGTAGCCACGGCGTATCCTGGGGCTAGTCCTGCAGCAGTTGCTACAGCTGGCAGTCTGGCTGTGCCTGGCCAGGTAGCGACGGCAGCAGGTCACGGGATGAGTCCCACGCCGGATCAGCCTGTGTTCAGCAACCAGTATGGTGCGGCCGCTATGAACACTGCCTTCATGCAGCAGCAGCAACAACAACAGCAGAACGCAATGCTTAATGGCCGCATGCAACAGCACCCGATGTACAACCCTGTCGTTGTCCAGAGGCAAGTGCAGTTGCAACAACAACAGCAGCAGCAACTACAGCGCCACCAGTCCATGTCAAGTACATCGTCTTTGCCGCAGACGCCGGTCACGCCTATTGACCTAGGTGGCAATAATGGCAACTCGGCGCCAACAGCACAGGCTAACAGCCATGCGGGGGTTGCGCAATCGGCCGGTGGTCCCGCTGGCATGCAACCAGCTGCTGCTACTACCATGTTAATGAGTGCCGATGGTAAACACCATCTGGCCCAGTCCGCTACTCAGACCGCCGCCGCCGCTGCCACTCACTTTCCCTACATGACTCCGGTTGGTGCAACAGCAGCAGCATCCATACCCCCTGCACAACTACAGATGATGCAGCAGCAATATCTCATACAACAGCAGCAGCAGCAGCAACAACATCAACAAATTCAACAGCGCCTTCAACTCCAGCAGCAACAACAGCAAATGCAGCAACAAATGCAGCAGCAACCACAACAACAACAACAACAGCAGCAGCAGCAGCAACATCAACAAATGCAACAACTGCATCATCAGCAGCAGCAGCAACAGAGGCAGCAGCAGCAACAAAGGCAGCAGCAGCAGCAACAACAGTCTACTGCCGCTGCATCTGCTGCAAGTGCTTCCCAACCTTCGCAGGTGCAAGTGCACCAACACAATACACAGTCCCGAGTACCCAGCTCGCGCAAGCATTCCTCGCCAAACGCTCAGTCAGCGTCAACGAGTTCAAGCACTGCGCCAGCTCAAGCAGGCGCGACAACTGTGAATGGTGGCAGCCCATCGTCTGTCCAGCAACCTACCAACCCATCTACGTCAGCAAAGGATAGGTCAAGCGCGTCACACGTCCCAGCTGCGTGTACTGCACCGGCGGCGGAGTCGTCTCAGCCTGCCCCTACTGTCACCGCATCTCGTACAGACAACAGCGGTGACCGAGCAGCAGCGCCAGCAGCAGCGACAGCAACATCAACGTCGTCTACAGCAGCGCAGGCGGCCAACACGGGTGTCAACTCCGTGTCGAATTCTGCTGCTCACTCCGAGCAGTCCAGTGCCCCGCAGAGCTCTGCCAACAACGGTACTACTACTGCTACTGCTGCTGTGCCACCGCCGTGTGACAAGGGCAACGTCAACAGCAACGGCAGTGCGCCGCCGACCACTGTGGCTGTATCGAACTCTACTCCTACTCCTGCTGCAGGCCAAGACTCGGGGATGGCAACCGCCTCATCCGCACCGGCGGCGTCCAAGGACTCGTGTGGTGCTGCAGATCAGAGCGCCGGCGCCAGCGTTGCTCCGTGCGTGGCTAGTGCCTGAGCTGATCGGGCTTGAGCTGCTCTAGCTTGAGCTGCTGTAGCCCGAGCACACGCACACTGACGTAGGTGATGAGTGCTCGTGTTTGTGTAGACTGCGAGCGCTGGCATTGCCACGTATCACTCCTGTCTCTGCTCTGGCAGTAGTCGTCTTGTTCTCACTAAACTGAAGTGTCGACCTCTCTCGTGTATGCACGCTCTCGTGCGTGTGTTTGTACCATTCTCGGTGTGTTTGTACCATCATTGTCCTAGGAGTAGTTCTTAACCAAGACGGTCCAATAGTCCACCAGTCCATCATCTCCATTGCCTCTTAGCTGGCCATGTTCCTAACTGTATATGTGAACGTGTGCGTGTGTGTTTGTGTTAGTGCATGCGTGATGTGAACGTGTGTGCATGTGAATGAGACCAAAGTCAAGACAGAAGAATGTGCTGTACCCCCTGATTCTCCCTTGAGTACTCTGGTGAGCGGGACATAAAGTTATCCCGGCGCTTGATACTCTTTATTATCGTCATCATGTGTTGCTAGTGTCGTCGTCTTGTTCTTTCGCTTGGCAGGCGGACACCTATCTAGTACCACATGCACACAATAGTGTGTGAGCGCGAGCGTTTGTGCGCGTGTGCAAGCGTGTACCCTGAGACCGAAAGACACCTACCGAGAGTATCTATCTCTTTTTGCCTGTGTGCGTGTTTCAAGTCGGCGTCCTCTTTTCATACTTTACTTTACATAGCTTTACTGCCGCTGGCTTTCTTTCCAGAATGTGCTTCTTTCTGTTTTTTAAACGTCCCATTTCGGCTGCTGTTTCGTTATCTTTTTATGGCAGCTTTTATTGTCTGGTAGCCGAGTACTGTCTTTTCTTCCATCTGTCTGGGGTCTAGATTCCACCATCCCCCCTTTTTTAGGTTTGTTCTCGCCCGATTAGACCCACGCGGCCGTTTGCCATTAGTGTGTAGTAGTAGTTATGGTTGAAGGATTTTCCTCTGCCGGCGGCCTCTGTTCTCTACTTTAGTTTGGTCTCACCCTTTTCTATCTGAGCCGTGATCATGCATCATCTGATCTCATACGCGTCTTCCTGCTAGCTGGGTGTGCGTGCGTGCGTTACACAGCTGGTGTGCGTATGTTGTGTTGTTTGAAGGGGTATCGTCAACTTTAGTACCACTTCCATTTGCCACACAGCATAATTCCTTGTATAGGGAATACGTGCTGGTTGGTGAATTTCATGGTCCTGATTTGTTTCTGATGGCCCAGCAGGTTCATAAAAAGTTGCAGTGGTAATAAAATTAAAAAGCACTTTTGTAGCGAGTTAACGGGTAGATCAAGTAAATATGCAAGCATGTTTTCAAAAGGAGCAGCGCAAACTCTGCTGACTTCAATACTGTGTGAATTAGATACACTATAGTATGCTTTTCAAGTTGTCATTGCGAAAAGCAAGCAAGAACGATTAAAATAATATCACTTGACATGGGTCTCAATGGGGATGAACAGATTTCGATGCAAAGAGTGTCAATAGCAAACGCAGATTCTCAAAAGGGTGTAAACATACTAGTCTTTATGAAAGAGCTCAGCAACACTATTCGCTACCACGTCATGGAAACGGTGTTATTCATCTAGGAGTGCGCCCCAGGCAGCAACGGAATAGAAATTGTGATCGTGATCCTCCTAGAAGTCGGAGCTCTTGGGTGATACTTCATGGACTGCCATTCCAGGAAATATGTGAAAAAAACGAGAAATTCCGTGTCGTGTACGGCATTGGCAGATGCACGTGTGTGTGTGTGTGTGTGTGTGTGTGTGTGTGTGTGTGTGTGTGTGTGTGTGAGAGAGAGAGAGAGAGAGAGAGAGAGAGAGAGAGAGAGAGCCTGGGAGTCATTTTTCGCACTGCGAAGCATGACAAGACGTGTATTTTCTCCAGTATCGAGTCTATAGACTACATGGTATTGGCCCGTGAACGTCGAGTCGGCAAACTCAGCTGCTGCTCAGGGTGCTTAATCTTCAGCTTTGCGAAGAGCGAGGGCTGATTCTTGGGCCAGTACAGCACGGGGCATTTGGAAAGCCACGGCGGCCGATGTCGCGACGACGCACCATGGAGCGTCACAATCGGGTGCATGATCGACAGCAGGTCATGAGGCAGCGAAAACGAGTGTACTGCGGTGTCCGGGGTCTTGTCCTTTGCCTTCTTCCCACCGCGGATGGCCGTCTCGAACAGTTCTCGTAGCTGGCTCGTGCAAATGTAGATCAAAGCATCGCAACTGGACCTCTCGACTTCAAGCCACTCGCGCATTTCGGCAGGGCAGCGGACCTTTTCCCCCTCAAACGTGTTCTTTTTCACGCGAACAATGCTGCTGTTGACGTTGAACATGCCCATTGCAAACGATAGCTTGCTGACCTCGTGCGTAATGCGAGAGTCCGCTGTCATGGCCTGTACGAAATGGCAGAGTTGGAGAGAGAGAGAGAGAGAGAGAGAGAGAGAGAGAGAGAGAGAGAGAGAGAGAGAGAGAGAGAGAGAGAGAGAGAGAGAGAGAAGGAAAATTCAGTATCGGTCCATATGCCGAGTCATTCAGCCATACGCGATGCAGCCAGTGCAGTGTAGATGCAGCGTCATGCTGCTTCGGCTCTCCTAACTGCAATCTTGTAGGACATTAATTGACATGATTGATCAGTAATAAAATTACTACTTGAAGTAGACTTGGAGAACACACGCACGCACGCACGCACACACACACAACAAAGGCCAGGTACTCGGCTCCTAACTGTGCTGTTATACCAAGAGTAGATAAACAAGAGTGTGCAACTCCGGATCTCTCCTGCACAATCTGCAGATACCCCCACCCACGGCGGGATTTTTTGCTGACGTCACCTTTTTTCAGAAGAACGCGCATTTTGCTGCAGAGCAGTGTGAGAGCACGTGCTGGGCAGCGACTTTGTAGTGCAAATGCGGCCAAGTGCACGAGGGAAAACTTTCCGAAAGACTCATAGCGCGTGCGTCGTCGAAAAGATTACGTCAACAAAAAATTCCGCCGTGGGCCAACCCATCCGCGAGTTGCACACTCTTGTATATCTACTCTTGGTTATACTTATAGGGTCTTGATCCAATCATGTATGACTACTTGGAAATATAATTTCTACTTTAAGTTGACTAGGAGAAGGCACAGACCACATAGACCCGGTGGGTAGAACTAGAAGGACCGTGTAGGAGTATGAGCACTGCACCACTGATTGCTACCAGAGCGCTGAACATAGTAAAAAGAAGCGATCGAGCAAGAGGTGGAGAGACAGACAGACAGGCAGACAGGGAGCGAGAGCACAATCGTTGTCCCTGAACATAATACTCACATGAATGATCTTGACTGATGGCTGGTTTTCCGGCGCCGGCACAGTGTACGCCATCTCGTGCATGCCCTCGCACACGGACGCAGAGCGCTCTTTGCTAGGCATTGCTGGCAGTAAACCGGGAGAGGCTGGCGGCGTCTCACCATTTGCGAAAGCATCCGAATTGAGGCTCTCGGTCCTGGCTTGCTCTTTGCGAGCACCATCGGGACTGCCGGGTGGGGTAACAAACACCATGTTGTCGTCGGGGCTTGGTGACATCACCACCGCCGCCGCCGCACTGGCATAGCCGTCATCGCTGGTGGAGACCGTCACCGCTCGGTAGATGTGCTCGGGCGCCGTGGTGGACTTCTGCTGGTTGGTGTGCTCGACTAGCTGGGTACGCGGTGCCTTGGCCTTGTAACGTACACTAGTGCGATGATCAACGGCCCGACCAAGTGGTACTGTTGCCTGTACAACAACAACAACATCTCGTATTGGCGAACGCGGTCTGTATCATAGCGTGTATACCAAACTACCGTATCTACGCCAATTCTGGCCGAGGTGCTTAGCACTTTGCGAGACATAACATCCCAACCGATTTGAAGAAAAGAAACGCAACAGCCCCGAAAGACGTGGCGCTTATTTCAGACAGGCGGCAATAAAAGACCGGTCTCACTTCCAGAGAATACCAAACTACTAGTACTCACGACAGTGTCCTGGTCTGGGGACCAGGTGCGCGGTGCCTTGGGTGGCGGTGCTTTGTCGCCGCGCATGTTCTGCGATAAGAAGCTGGCCAGCTTTCCATGCTTCATGGCGATCTCGTATGGCGCGTTTCCCTTCTGTGAACGCCACATAGACACACATGGGAGCAAGAAAGAATGCATGTTCACTTGTAGTTACAGGTCAGTGAAGAACATCAGTCTTGATGTTTTCCTCAGTTGAGCATGACTCATAATAATTTCCTTCGTCATAAGATTCATTGTGTTTATTTTGCCCGTACGAGAGGCTTGGGTATATTGGAGAACAGGGAAGGCTCACGGGGTTTCTACCCTTAAACCGGCAGGCAGTGCAACACAAACGTGTGCACGCACGCACACACGGCGTTCTGTCATTAGGCCACACCAAGTTATTTCATTGTTTCTCGTCACCTGAAAATCTCAAAAGGAACGCGGGCGGGCGGAAAAAAAACAAAATAGGGTTTGAAAAACAAAAACTGCTATTTACACTACAAAGGCCCAATTTATGACCTAAAATCAGACTATACACCACGCGTGACAGTCAATTGCAACATACAGCCAGAAAACCAGGCTCCTGCACCGGCCTCTGGTGAGGAAGTCCAGTGTTGCATGTTATTTAAATAGGAAAGAAAGCAAACCAAAGTTATTATACAAGGGGTACATAAAAGAACAGCCAAGTGCGCGCTTGTGCTAAAATTTAAAACAGAAACCTTATGGGATAAGGCATGGCATGACATGACAAGTACATACACGGTGCAAAAGTCGTCCTTCGGTTCGTGCACTAGCACTGCACTCCAGATTTGACGCCGCGCGTACTTTTACAACGCCTTTTTATGCGTGTTTACCGGGACGCGAGATTTTTTTTTGGTCCAATCCTCAAGAAAGGTACGCGCGCGGTGACGAGAAACAATGAAAAAACTTGGTGTGGCCTTACCATCAAAACAAGCCAGACAGAACTTCATCACCTATAATGCATACCGCGTAACTGGTGTGGCTTCTTACCTTGTCCTTGCTGTAAATATCTGCGCCGGATGCGAGCAAGAGCTTGAAACAGTTCAGGTGACTGCACATATGTATGCACGCAAGCACGCACGCACACACACATACACACAAATACACAACATAAGACTCACAAGGACAATACGTTAATGTACTTGGCATAATTATAAGGTCCTGTAGTGTTACTACATTGTACTGAAAGTACCAACGTTAATTTACAATAATAGCATTGCTACGTTCTCTCACACAACACTGTTAGTGCCACAAACATCAGTGCACTACAAGTAAGACTTTCCGGCCCGAAGGGATTGCCTCATTTCTTTGATAAAACCACGAACAGCATGGAGCGCTGCAACCTACAGGTGTTGGCACATCGTCTACACCCAGTGCCGAGCAGCAGCTCTTCATGTGGCTTACTTTTTCTCAGCGGCATCATGCAGCGGAGTCCTGCCCCACACGTCGCGTGTGTTGACGGCAAACGATTTGTCCGGCAGGCAGTGCAGCAGGAACTGCATGCACTTGGTCTCGCCGAAGGCGGCGGCAAAGTGAAACAGCGACGCCTGCTCGTTGTCGATGTACGTCAGGCAGTCGGCGATCAGCTTGCCCTTGGCCAGCATCTCCTTTACCATCCACTGGGCAGTAGACACAGGTACAAACACATAGACATAACGGAAAGAGAGAAATATTTATAAAAGAAGCTGTTTTAGACTCGGA